ACTCAAGAGGATTCAAATTGACAACGACGAAATGATGATATCCTTCGACGTAACAGCCTTATTTACCTCAATAGAACCAAGCTTAGCCAAAGAAACTCTTTCTCTGCTCCTCACCAACGACACAAATCTACACAAATATACAAAACTTCAGAGTCAAAGTTTGCTTGAACTCATCGACCTATGCTTAACAACATATCTTCAGTTCAACAACAGAGTCTACGAACAAATAAAAGGAACACCAATGGGATCACCAATATCAGGACTCATCGCCGAAGCGGTAATGCAGAGACTGGAAGCGTCGATTCTGCCAGTGATCAAGCCAAAAATGTGGGTTCGCTATGTAGACGACACATTCGTTATTATCAAAAGGAATGAGCTGGAGAACATCTACAATCAGATCAACAACGTCTTTGAGGACATCAAATTCACGATGGAAAAGGAATCAAACAACAGCCTATCATTCCTGGATGTACTAATCACCAGAACTAACACAGGAAAACTAGAAACTCAAGTATTTCGGAAGCCAACCCACACCGACGTAATTCTCAACTACGACAGCAACAACCCAAGAACCCACAAAATCAACTGCATACAAACTCTGTTCAAGAGAGCGAAGACACACTGCAGCACACACGAAACATTAAAAAACGAGGAAAAACATCTGAGGACTATCTTCCAAAAGAACGGCTATCCACGCAACTTCATCAAAAAACATCAACCAAAACTATCATCAGGAGTGAAATCAAGCACAGGAACAAATAAACGCATCATCCTACCATACATCAAAGACATATCAGAGCATACGGCACGACTACTGAAACCATTTGGAATAGGTGTGGCACACAAACCAACGGAATCACTTCAGTCAATCCTATGTAGACCAAAGGACAAAATGACAAAGGAAGAAAAACCAAATATCATCTACAAAATAAATTGCTCAAATTGTGAAAAACACTACATAGGACAAAGTGGACGACCTCTTCAGCTCCGTTTACGTGAACATCAATTAACAGTCAAACGCCACGACAAGGCTTCGCTTATATCAATACACACCGACAATTATGGACACACATTTGATTGGAACAACGTGGAAATACTAGGTAGGGGGAGGACAAAGAACACTAGAGAATTTTTAGAAGCTTGGCACTCAGGTCAATTAGCAATCAACAAACACATCGACATTGACCCAATTTATCAACCAATCAGGAAAATCATAGGTGACACTAGATCAAGAAACAGGTCAAAAGAGGGAGGCAATCAAAACATAGTCGCAAACAACGACAGGTCAAATGTCAACAACAACCAATCAAGATCGAGGTCAGCAGAACAAGCTACAGGCCAAACGTGGAGAAATTCTAATGCTTCACTTCTATCTGAAGTTCGTGCTGATGATGTTGTTCAGAAGAACAATGAAAGCTCCACAACCAAAACAACCAGCTCAGAGAACAAAACACCACCACAATCATCCACCTGAGCTACAAGTTTTCTCCACCATCTCAAGGTTGCTTACTCTCACCCTTCCTCTTTCTCCTGGTCATCGACTGGATTATGAAGACGTCGACATCTGGAGGGAAGCACGGTATCAACTGGACAGTTAGGACGCAACTGGAAGATCTGGACTTCGCAGATCACCTGGCTCTTCTATGGCACACGCAACAACAAATGAAAGAGAAGACGACCAGTGTAGCAGCAGCCTCTGCAGCAGTAGGTCTCAACATACATAAAGGGAAAAGCGAAATTCTCCGATGCAACACAACATGCACCAACAAAATCACTCTTGATGGAGATGCCTTGGAGGACAATAACACCTTTACATATCTGGGGAGCATCATCAACAATCAAGGTGGATCCGATGCAGATGTGAGGGCGCGGATCGGCAAAGCAAGAGCTGCATTTCTACAGTTGAAAAATATCTGGAACTCCAAACAAATATCAATCAACAACAAAATCAGGATTTTCAATACAAATGTCAAGACAGTTTTACTGTATGGAGTGGAAACTTGGAGAACTACCAAAGGCATCATCCAGAAGATACAAGTGTTTATTAACAGTTGTCTACGCAAAATACTTCGGATTCGTTGGCCAGACACCATCAGCAACAACTTACTGTGGGAGAGAACAAACCAGATCTCAGTGGAGGAGGAGGAAATCAGGAAGAAGCGGTGGAAGTGGATAGGATACACACTACGAAAAGCACCTAACTGCGTCACGAGACAAGCCCTCACATGGAACCCTCAAGGTAAAAGGAAAATAGGAAGGCCAAGGAACACATTACGCCGAGAAATAAGAAAGATATGAGAGGAATGAACAAACATTGGACAGAACTGGAGAGGGAAGCCCAGGACAGAGTTGGTTGGAGAAAACTGGTGGGCGGCCTATGCTCCATTGGGGGTGACAGGCGTAAGTAAGTAAGTATAGTTAATTGTTCATAAATATCAGAGTCAGATTGCGGGCCACTAAAGCGGTGAGGCCTACTTTTAATTCAGCACAGCCCACTCAAAATGGTGAGCCTGACGCCTAATTTAATGCATGCACAATGGCTAACGTGTATAAATGAAGAATCCCATTCCTTATGCATTATTATTAATAACATTTCGGTTCATATCAAAAGACAATGATCAGATGCTCTAGCTCCACACGTGATGCTTCCGGTAATAGAAGTTGGATTAAAGTTAGGAACGGCCAGAAAAAGATATAGTATCAGTTCATGAAGCTATTAACTGCTAAACCGAAATGTCTTAATGGGTGTGGATTACCTTCATTAGAGTACGCGAGATCATCGTAACCAGTGATTAGGAACGTTGGAAGATACAGCTCAATATCGGTTACAACGTTGCATATTTATTCAATATAGCTCCTAATCTACTCATACTTATTCTGTGAACTCTTCTTTTCTCGAATCATGTTTTTCAATGCCTAAAGTGTTCTTCCTAACACTGAAATCTACCCTGTTATTCTCAGCTTAATATGCAGATATTAATGTGATAGATTGAACCGATGCACGAAGTATCAGGTTCTATGTTCAGTCAGTCAATCAGTCAACAACAACATAGAACTTCGTACATTGCTCATAAGTGATTAAATCTTTATTATTTTAAAATACAATAGTAATGTTAAGTTTATGAAGCTAATTAAAAAAGCAAGATAATACGAAAATAACACTTGAGACTTGGATAAAAAACGAATCCATGTTTTTTTCTTAACTTTTAAAAACGAATATATATGCCTTTAAGTGATATGTCATCTAATTACAAAAATCACTATTACGACATATCATAAAATTAGCAACAATGAAAAAAGTGCTAACTACGTAAACTATTTCAATGATATCGGGTTATTTGTAAAATATTTAAAGCGTCAAGTTTAACAAAGGATAAAGTAACAAATACTATGAGCGATTAAAACAAAGTTTACCAATGGACAGATTATTTTAAGAGTATTTTATTTGGAAGAACATACTAACAAAAGAAACTAATATTCTCTTGCCGACGGTATTCACATATATTAGAAATGACGTAAGTGAATAAAACTTATAGTATTATATACACAATGGTTAAAACTAGGTTGATATTGTAATTAAACAGAATACTTATAAATAACTATTATTACATTTATTTTACACATTAGAAATCATTAATCAATCATTGTTAGACCACCATTAGAAACTTGGAAGCACTGGACGGCCGTTTCGTCCTGGTATGGGACTCATCAGTAGTGCGCATCCACGACTCCTGCACCTGACAGGATTCGAACCCGGGACCTTCGGTATTGTGCGCGAACGCCTAACCATCGGACCACTGAGCCGGGTTTCTAATGGTGGTCTAACAATGAATAATTGATGATTTCAAATGTGTAAAAACACAAATCTCCAAGGCTGTAACTGAAAGAAACATTCATTTTGGCTAACAAGAGTGTGTAGGGAGAAAAACGAGTCTCATACAACTCTGTCTATGTATAACAGTTAAACTCATAAATAAAATCCAAATTCGTTTCTCAAAAATATGAACGTCACATAATTAAAGTTAGAAATGCTTGAAATTATGATAAAGGAAATGGTGAACAAATGATGAGTCACAGCTTGATAGTTTTATGTGATGTGTAGATTTATTTAAAAAGAAATGACTATTGCATTTCATTGATAATTACAGGTCTGTTTATTGTGAATTTTAAATTTACTATTCATTTTCAACAGATAAAAGTGTTATTCATCTAAGTTATGTATTTTATTGATCATTGTTAATAAGATTAATTTTATTATTATTATTATTATGATTTTCCAAGTATATTAACTCTTAAAAAATCAATTTTGTATTGTTGAAAATGAATAGTTTTGAAGTAAGCCTGTCAAGTATTTTACGATTAGATATGAAAACTGAGGAAAAAATTCAGTTGATAATTGACTTTAATTTAATTATGAAATAGTATTATTCATTGATCGATACATACCATAGTAAGTGGTATACAAATTAAAGTATTGTGAACTAAAACGAATGTTTATTAATGAATGAAGTTTACAAATGAGTATTTTAGACCATTCTATGACGAGTGTGGTATTACAGTGTGAGATTATTTTAAACATGAAAAAAAATCGGGATATTAGCGAGTATCCTGACTCTCGCTCTCTCTCCTCTGTCTTGATGTTTTGTTTTATTTAAATCGATTTTGCATCTTTACTGACTGATATCAGTTTGAAAAATGTGGGAACACAAAGAGAGAATGATAGTTGTTTCGTTTCCGTATAAGACTACTCAGGAATGTGTGCCTACAACCCTAATTACGGCCAAATCCAGGACAGTTAGGCCTCGTAGAGGAAACGGAAACTTTGAACCACCGAGCCGGAATCTAGTGGTTTAGTCAAAATAATTATTGATGATTATAATGTAAAATATTTTGGTAATTTTGTAACAAGCAGAAAGTGGTTGAAGGGAAAAAACAAGAGAAAATAAGGAGCATACTTGTAAACAATTGTAAATATTCATGACACATATTAGATTACTTACTCGTTATCTGGTGTAAGTACTACAGGTTCGTCGGTGAATGCAGGATCGAAATGTATCAGATCTCTATCGCCTCCAAATGTTGGACGATAGGGCGGTGGAACTTGTTTCTGTTCTAAAGCAACCCAATCAATCGGAGCAAAAAATCCATGACTCATAATATTAGCAAAACTGGAATTTGGTGCACATCCAAGACGTTCAGTCGGCACCTGAAATAAACATATTTAGTTAAAATAATAAAATGGAAATTTAGGGAAAACGAGCATTTTATACACTTGTAACTAAAGAAAGGGCGCGAAGTGGCAAAGCAAGAGCTGCATTTCTACAGTTGAAAAATATCTGGAACTCCAAACAAATATCAATCAACACCAAAATCAGGATTTTCAATACAAATGTCAAGACAGTTCTACTGTATGGAGTGGAAACTTGGAGAACTACCAAAGGCATCATCCAGAAGATACAAGTGTTTATTAACAGTTGTCTACGCAAAATACTTCGGATTCGTTGGCCAGACACCATCAGCAACAACGTACTGTGGGAGAGAACAAACCAGATTCCAGTGGAGGAGGAAATCAGGAAGAAGCGGTGGAAGTGGATAGGATACACACTACGAAAAGCACCTAACTGCGTCACAAGACAAGCCCTCACATGGAACCCTCAAGGCAAAATGAAAAGAGGAAGGCCAAGGAACACATTACGCCGAGAAATAAGAAAGATATGAGAGGAATGAACAAACATTGGATAGAACTGGAGAGGGAAGCCCAGGACAGAGTCGCTTGGAGAAAACTGGTGGGCGGCCTATGCTCCATTGGGGGTGACAGGCGTAAGTAAGTAAGTAAGTAACTAGTAAAAGATTCACTCAATGAGTTCACTGAATGTCAATGAATGTATTCTCATCATTAACACTGTATACTTTTAATATACTAAGCGCTAATTTTAAAAATTTTCAGAAAAAAGCAAGATGAATATTTCGTACTTCTTAAGCACTGAAAATACACAACATAGATTTCCATAAGAGAATACTTTATCATACATTGAAAATATGAATTTTGCTTAACTGGCGGAAATATCTTTCCTTGAATATTAAGTTCCTCGATTCTTCATCCATTGTTTAATTATTGCATTAAATTATATTTTCTTCTCGAATCGTTTTTTCGATGTCTGGTCTTTTCTACTACAAGTAGTAATACTGTTACTATTTCTACTGTTATAAGATTTGTTTTGACAATTTCGTCCCGCTGTGTTAATGGGATCTGGCAACTTACATTGAGGTACACAAGTGCCAGGATCTATGTCACGTTTAGCTGACTGACTGACTGAAATTTCTGGAAAAAGACGCTTCGATAATGTAGTGTTTTTACAACTAACAATGATCACTTACAAATTAAATAAAATTTAAACTCCCTATCACCAGAGAATAAATCTACATATAAATATACAACTTGTAAGTTCATTTCCATTTTAAACATTAAAATCAAAATGATACTTGTTGATGGTTATAAAACTAAAGCATCAGCGAACTGAAATCAATAGAATGGAATACTTTGATTGGGATTATAACTTTGAAAACTTTTTAGAGAAAAAAAAGAAATAGTCTATAATTTGACTGACAAATTGAACAATATTTTATCAGTGATCAACTGAATGACAGAATAAAATATAATCACATTTAGATACACAGATATCTTATTTTTGTCTCATGATACACATGGATAAAGATGAGAATTTCGATGAAAACGAAGTACACGAATCTACATCCGTGAATGATGAAATTAATTTCACAAAATATTGTAAAAGAATAACTATGTAACTATGTAGTAATTCAGTAAGTTAACAGACAAGTTATTACAAATTTTCTTAAAGTCAAGAGTTTTAATTTAGATTTAATTACCAGGGTAGAAATATACAATCATGGCGAAACCGAAAATGTGCAATCAACATTTACTGTATGAGCACAGATACGGTGTGATTTTTCTTAACAGATAAAATTTGGAGAAATATCATTTATTTTTAGTAAATGACATATTTGAACTAATCAATAGTATGTTATTGATTGACGAGAAAAAACCGTAATCGATACACAGAGAAAGGCAATAGTAATTAAAAGTAATACGTTGACAAACCTTTTGGAGAAATCCATTCAGTATGCTAGTTGCACGAACAGAAATAGAACGTGGAAAACGAATTGGACGACTGAGAATAACTATTTAAACAAAATGATAAACATAAATATATTTTCATTTTTTTAAATAGTAAAATATTATTGAAACCTTGACGCAATCGGACTTTACAAATTGAATACGGTTGCATTTTAATTATTATGAGAGGTTCAACGAAATGTATAGCAAGTAGGAAAGCTTTAATTAATGCTGAATAAAATAACTGTTCATGTTATCTTCAAATGTTTAACGCGAAAATAAAAGTAGGATATAGGTTTGCACAAAATACAAATGACTACTTTTTCCGGAAAAATAATAATTGAGAGTAGTGAGTGATAGAAAAGATAATTGATTGATATATAGAGGGTAACACCATGGTACAGCTCTAAAAAATAGGTTCTGTTAAATGATATTAACTAGGAATGTAAGAACAACCAAAGTCTAGAATACTAATCATATCTCATATAGTTATAAGTGTTTCATATAACAGAATGTAAATGTTAAAAAAATAAATTATGCCAAACAATTTTACTAAACTGGTGGACCATGAACCGCATCATTATTTCATGTTGAAAAAATTGGAAAATCCCCTAAAAATCTGATTTATTTAAATAGTTCTTTAAATGACACTATACATTTCACCTGTCAGAAAGAATTTATACTAACAACAATGGCAATTAATGTTAAATCATAATTGTGTACATGATATGCTTGAATGCTATTACGAGTTCACCTTGCTCGATAACGGAACGCACGTCAACGATAAGCTAATCTAATCCGTTGTATCAGGCCCTGCTAACAAAAGTAAGAAGTCTTGATAAGGCGTAGAGAATGTATTTTCTGCTAGCACCCAAGAAATACGAGGTGTCTAAGTACACAAATCAAGCTTATTTATACAATGACAGAGACGCCGTTAGGAGAGCCACAAAATAGCGTAATAAAATAATCCATCAAACAATGACAGTCTAGGATTTTCCAAGTGAGAAATGTAGGCTGAAGGCCAACTAAGAGTCTTTGGCGCGAGGACATCAAAAAATCAAAATTTCAGAAATAAATAATAAAATTAGCACCTTTCTAAGTGAGTTCTGGGGATCTAACGTCCCCAACAGTACAATAAATACTGACACAGAAAGATGGCAATCATTTTAGTGCCAGTCGCGACCAAACAATCTGAGGTAAAGGATATCAGGTTTTCAAGCAGAGATTAGAACTTCGAACAACACAGACTCCGTAATTAGACATAGTATAGAGAGATTGAACATCATGATGTTAAAAAGCACAGACTAACATACAGAATATTACCTAAAACACCATTAGCAACTACAGAACTATATGCATATAAAAATATCCTAAACTGTTTTGACTAACTTGCCACTAAGTGTGAATAAAACCATACAGTACTATTAATTTTCTAGAAGTCCTTCATACTTTGTTAGTACAAAATACACGGGATATTTTCACACAATCACCAACAAATGATTAAAATTATTTCGCATAGACTATAATGTAGCACAGTGATGAGATAGAATCCGCACACCACATTTATTTAGTACTTATCACATAAGCAGATTTACGCTGTTGTCGTTTACTTATAATAATAGAGCTGTTTTGAAAATACAATCGATAGGTGAATTAAAGAGGCAGGGAGTCAGACGACCTTGAGCAAACCTGTTTTCAGCTAAGAATTTTGAATTGGTATCAATACCAAGGTTTGATCTGATAATTCTAAATAGATTGAGCATACACAAATACACAAACATATTTCCTATGAACCACCTTGACCGAAGTGACATGACAGTGACTTGATCAGACCTGCATTTGCTTTGTTCCTTAATACTATTTAGACTTGGGCTAATTTAATTAATTAATTTATTCTTTGAAGAATTGGTTTACATCTAATCATTAGAGATCAGATAAATTTTAATTTTTCTACTTAATGGAATACTAAAAATATATTATTTCATTGCTAAGCTTTTATTTATTAGTGATTGGTTATGTAAGAACATCTACCAGTATTAAATGGTGCACACAACTATCACTTCCAAGACTGAAGTACAATTTTTGGCACTTATCGTCTAACTGATTTTTGCATACAGTTGTATTTACATTTTAGTGAGACAGGAGAAATTAAGCTAGAAACCACCATGTCGGAATCGAAGTAAAACGCCCATTATCACAAACCGAATGAAAAAGTACTAACTTTGGAATAAATAATCCTCTGTGTTTTGATCTGGATTAGCGGATTGTCCAACACCTTCCCAAGGAGATCGACCAGCCAACATTTCGAACATGAGTACACCTAAAGCCCACCAGTCAACACTGAAACCTAATTAAACAAATGTGAAATAATTATATTTACTACTATTTTAAATTATAGTAGTAACAATAAATTACGAAATAAACAAAGGAATCAGAGTTGGCATTTTTGAAATCATGTATTCTGAATTATTATCATTATTTATATACTACCATCTGATTAATACATTTTAGAAATCCCCTTCAAATTTTCATCATGATTACCTTGGTAGATATACTGTGCAACGCACAAAGCACGCAATAAACTGACTATACTGACTAGAAATGTTTATCATACACAGGTATCGACCGAAAAGTGCTATAAAAAGAGAAAGTTGAAGAATAGTTTAATATTAGATGACGAATTGCATGAACCAAGAATAAATCAATACCTTCTAGGGCCAGAGACACCTGACAGTTAGAAAATGATGAACGAAATTCTATAGAAGTATGACTGTCTCGAAAATCAGCAGAAACTAAAACTTAAAGTTCTTACAGAAAAAAGAAATAGTGAAAATAGGAGAAGAGAAACTGGATTGGATTACAAGGCAGATGTCCATATATCATTTTCAAGAATAGTTAATTACGTAATACCACTAAGGAAAAGACAGATAACGCGTAAAAGCTATTGAAAATAAAACGAGATTAAGTGACTTTTATCACTGAAAAACCAGTTATTTCATTTTGACTTTCATGTCGTTTCTCCATAAATTCAGATCCAACTGTTTATTAATCTATCTAACCAAACAATGACATAGAAGCAACTCTGAATATGGACTATTTTCTCTTCAGAAATATTTGAGAGGAAGAATAGGTAGCAAGAGGTCAAAAAACCGGTAAACCTTGTCAAAATACCGAAGAATTCAGTCAGCTACAAAATAGAACTTAGCACGTACGTACATCAGTTCAAGTTGCCATACCACAGTAGCACACAGAGATAGAATTGTAAAGGTAGTAGATGTATTGGCGGTAATGTATAAGAAAGGAGATCTTAGTGGATGAAAACTACAAAGGTATCATTACACAATTATCAACAGTGTAGGTGAACGGGAAGAAAGACCCAGTAAACGATCAACTTCGAGATAACCAATCTGGATTTAGTAAGAATCGAGCATATAATGACTGAACTCCGATGCTGCTCATTATTAATTAGTAATCAATGGAATAGAAACCATTACTTAACATCTTTAATTATGAGAAAGCATTTGATACATTGGATATGGAAATCATATCGAGTACTCGAGAAGATCGCCACTAGCAATCGACCAACTGTTAAGTAGCGTGTGAACGGTTATGGAATATAATAGACACCTTGAGAACACACGGCTGATCGGGACTTCGTAGAGGATTGACTTTTTCTGTCCTATACACAACAATGAGTGGAGGTGAAGCCAGTCAGTGTAGCAGCTGCTACCACAGCAGTAGGCCTTAACACTGACGAGGAGAAAGGTAGATCCCAAAATACAACTGAGAGAACAACAACCAAATCACACTTGATGGCGAAGTCCTGGAAAAGGTTGTAGGCTTTACATACCTGAGCAGCATGATTAATCTGATGCAGATATGAAGGCACGAATCGGCAAAGTAAGGGTAATATGCCCACAGTTTAAGAACATCTGGAACTCAAAACAACTGTCAGCCAACACCAAAGCCATAATTTGCAGCACTATTTTCAAAACGCTTTTACTGTACATAGATGAAACTTAACATATCGACTTTTGAGTACACTAGATTGTTGAACATTTATATAATAGAAATTAATTTTGAATAGATCTACGAGTATAGAATTATTACTATAAAAATGTTTTAATAACACACTGAGAATCATTACAATCTGTAACTTGATGCATGAAACGAGTATTTGATTTAATTCAAGCGAGTCATACAATCAATCAATCAACAGCAACGTAGAAATTCGTACGTAAGTACATCAGTTCAAGTTGCCATACCACATTAGCACAGAGATGTAACTGTTAATTCAAATCCAATAGTAGTAGAGGTAGTAAAGGTATTAGCAGGGATTGGAAATGTTATGGTTCGAAGATATGATTCGAGAAGTAGAATCTAGTGAAATAAACTTTAAAACAAAAAGATAAAGGTGATCATAAATTAAGAAGTTTAGGATTTGAGAGAAGCCAAAGAATCAATGCACCTGCTCCATTGCGAACGGTTTTGAGCCATGTCATTCAGGGTCTCTAACCATCGATTACTATCAGCTCGCGGATCCCAACCAGGTAGTCGACACTTACCGACATGACTTAGTCTACTTGTCAGTGACTTCATGGATTTCTGCCATTTTTTGGTCTGGAAGCGAGCCATCCTTGGCAAGCCTACTCAAATCTCAGGTGAATATAGAAACATTCAGAGAAAGCTATAATCGCTAACAAAAACTGGTCAATTTTATACCCGTATATATTGAAAAAAAATCAACAACGAAAAATACAAAATTAGTTTGGGAATATATAAAAATTATAGTGATCATTTACAGTAGTCATGTTCACGCTTAGACATTAAACTGTACTATGTGTTTAAGTATGAGAGAGATAATGTCTCTAATCCATTATCCAAAATGAAATTGTTAGTCTGGGACTTTAGAATGAGTAACAACTGTTGGGGATGTTAGATCCCCAAAATTCGCTTGATAATGCCGTATTTCGGTTTTTCACGTTCGCCAGCAGGGGCTGATCAAATGACCTTGAGATTTCAATTCCCACCAGGAAAATCCATGGCTGTGATTGGCTGCTGTGTATTTTAGTATGCTATTTTCTTAACTGTCTCAAGGACGTTGTTATGTTGTATAAATAAACGAGAGTTGTATGCTTGATTGTACTGGATTGCTGGGTGTTTGTAGAATATACTTTCTACGCTTACCAAGACTTCTGTTTTACCGTTGGATTCAAGGTAGCCTTCCTGGAAGCTGGTAAAAGTATCGTTCGCGTTTATCGACTAAGGTAAACTCGTAATAGCATCAAGCATCCTAAGTGCCGAACATATCAGTGGCGACGGGGTAAAAACCATATCCACAAAACATTTCAGTGGCGACGGGGCTCACAATTCACAATGTCAATTAATCTTGAACAGTTAGAATCTTTACTGGAACGTCAAGGTAAACGATATGAACAGTTCCAGGAACGTATGTTGGAGCTGTTAATGAAACAAATGAATTTGAATCACAGAGGTTTTGCCGATGATTCATATAATCCGCATACAGACTCGATAGTTAATTCCATTCATGAATTTCATTTTGATGGCCTTGCTGGTGTGACTTTCGAGTCTTGGTTTAAGAAGTATGAGGATTTGTTCAAGGTCGACCTCAACAATCTTGATGACGCCACCAAAGTCAGAATCCTTTTGAGAAAGCTCGGCACAATCGAACACGAACGTTATAGTAATTTCATCCTCCCAAAGAACCCACGAGATTTCTCTTTTGATGCTACAATTGATACGCTGTCGCAAATCTTCTCTGAACAGTCATCTCTCTTTAATATTCGTTATCAATGCCTCAAAATAATCAAGTCAAATGAAGATGACTGGGTAAAGCATGCTGGCTTAGTAAATCGTGAATGCGAACGATTTAAATTATCATCAATGACGGAAGATCAGTTTAAGTGCCTTGTGTTTGTGTGCAGCTTACAATCTCCCGACGATGCTGATATAAGAACCAGAATCCTAAGTAAAATTGAACAGTGCCCAAACATCTCGCTTCAAGAAATAACTGCAGAGTGCCAGAGATTAGTAAACTTGAAGCATGATACCTCCATGGTCGAAAACAAGGGCCTCTCATCATACGTGCATTCCATTAGTGAAAAGAAAAATTCCAATTCGGCCCAAAAACCCAAAATGAATCCACCTTCTGCTTGCTGGCACTGCGGTTCATGGCACTATGTACGGAACTGCCCATTTAGGCAGCATAGATGCAGGAAGTGTAAAGTCATCGGTCATAAAGATGGCTTTTGCCTACAGAAAAAGCCAAAGCGATCCAGAAGTGCTAAGAAGCCTGTTCCTAGATCCAGTACCAATGCATTGAGCCTAATATCTTCCTGCCAAAGCTCATCACCAGGTGAGAGGAAATTTATTACTCTTAATATTAACGGTTATTTGTGTAGAATGCAAATAGATACTGCATCTGATGTCACTATCCTCTCACGCAAAAATTGGACCAAGTTGGGCAGCCCAAGCCTGCAGCACACAACACAAAAGCCTCGCACAGCATGTGGTAATTATCTTCGTCTGTTAGGACAATTGGAATGTAAAGTTGCTTTCCGAGATTCGTCGTTTACTGGGGTATGCTATATAACGCCAGCTGATCTAAATTTACTTGGTTTAGATTGGTTCGACCAGCTAAAATTGGCTGATGTCCCGCTAAATACCATATGCAGCCTGGTATCACAACGACATGACCCAGAAGCGTATACGAAGAACCACGCAGAATGTTATCTGACAACCGCAGTTCGCGCATTACCGGTGTCTGCAACAGACATACAAAATGCTTCTAGAAACGACCCCATCATCAAGATGACGATGAAATATGTCACTAACGGTTGGCCGTCGAAAAAGTTTGCAGGTGACATGAAGCAACTGTATCAGCGGCGGGACTCACTATGCATCGTCAACGATTGTCTGATGTTTGGTGAAAGAGTAGTGGTGCCAGCATCCCTTCGTGCAAAAGTGCTGAGACAGTTCCATCTTGGTCATCCTGGGATTAAACGAATGAAGTCCATAGCCAGGAGTTATGCATACTGGCCTCACATGGATCAACATGTCACAGCGTTGGTAGAAAAATGCATCCGGTGTCAGCAGGCGGCAAAGATGAATGCCAAAATTCCGCCGGTTTCATGGCCCAAACCTGAGCATCCTTGGTCCAGGATACATGTCGACTTCGCTGGCCCAATAAATGGAACTATGTATTTAATTGTCGTCGACGCCTTTTCTAAATGGCCGGAAATCAGCCCCGTTACGCCGCCCACTACAACTAAGACTATACAGCTCCTAACTGAAATTTTCTCACGGAATGGCATACCAGATGTGATCGTATCCGACAATGGCTCTCAATTCACCTCTTCCCAATTCCAGAATTTCTGTCAACGGCTAGCTATTAAACACTTACGCTCGCCACCATACCACCCGCAATCGAATGGGCAGGCGGAAAGGTTTGTGGATACGTTTAAAAGAGCATTGCTCAAGTCAAAAGGGGAGGGGACGCCAGCCGAAACGTTACAAAATTTCTTGTACGTCTATCGGACAACACCAAATGAATTGTTACCGGAGCAAAAGTCCCCAGCTGAAATCCTGATGGGAAGAAGATTGAAAACGATCCACAGCCTGATGCATCCGACCAATGCACCCTCATCAGTAGAGACAAAGCAGCAAAGACAATCCGCTTACGAGGTGGGATGCCCTGTGTTTGCCCGCGACTACAGAACGAACCATGGTCCTTGGGTAGAAGCGAGAGTGGTCAGAAGGGTTGGTCGAGTTATGTACGAAGTAGAGGTAGGAGGTGATAAATGGTCACGTCATCGCAATCAGATACGCAGACGGCTAGCCCCAGATCGCCCATCAAGAACAGAAAGCCTTCCCCTTGACATCTTGCTTGATACCTTCAACCTACCGAGAGCCCCGCCACGAGAAGAAACTCAGCAGCAAGCTGTTCTTCGTTCCCGAAGGTATCCCCTCAGACAGCGGCGAACAATAGTCAAGATGCAAGTCAACCACAGGAGAACACGCTATTAAAAAGGGGAGGAGTGTTGGGGATGTTAGATCCCCAAAATTCGCTTGATAATGCCGTATTTCGGTTTTTCACGTTCGCCAGCAGGGGCTGATCAAATGACCTTGAGATTTCAATTCCCACCAGGAAAATCCATGGCTGTGATTGGCTGCTGTGTATTTTAGTATGCTATTTTCTTAACTGTCTCAAGGACGTTGTTATGTTGTATAAATAAACGAGAGTTGTATGCTTGATTGTACTGGATTGCTGGGTGTTTGTAGAATATACTTTCTACGCTTACCAAGACTTCTGTTTTACCGTTGGATTCAAGGTAGCCTTCCTGGAAGCTGGTAAAAGTATCGTTCGCGTTCAT